TATATCTCCCATGGACATCATTCCATAGCAGTACATGTAGTACTACCCCTTTCTTTTTACCTGCCGCATCATAGTCCAGTGCCTAGAGGGTGTTAGTTTCTTTACCAGTTACTACATCACATGTTGAGGAGTTATGAGAAAAGGAGTATATAGGAGGGCCCTAAAGACAAAGCACAGGAGTAATGGAGCTGCAGAGCAAAGCATCAGCAGAAAGGTCAGGACACATGCCATGAGATTCTGGAAACAATCTGCGGAAAGCATTTTGTGGAGAGTACATCATGGAGGGTGTGCAAAAGGAACATGTGTGAAGGGAGCGTTTCAGGGTGTGTGCACAGAGCAGAGTGGTGGAGGAAGGAATATGATAGGAGGGGATTGATGGGGTTGTCAATAGGAGGGGCTGCTGTGAAGAAGACTTGATGGAGAGGACAAATGAGTGTTGGGGGTGCATCAGGAAAAAACGCTGTGGGAAAATAACAAATGGAAGCTGGGGGAAGGCAGGTAGAGCAGTATAGCTGGGTCAAGCCACCATATAGCATGGACTCTCAGAACAGGTTGGATCTCAATTCCCCCCCACCCCCAGTAAACGTCATTTGTTAAATCGTAGAAATACAAAATGAATACCTAAGAGTTCTGGTTTATGAATTTATTCAGTTGGAAATAGTTCGTTTTTGGACTGTGTCCTCATTTCAGGCCCAGAAAACTCGGGCCCGTTGTATACAGGGAGGAGATGGGGAGGGGAGCGGAGAAGTGAGACATGGGTCCGCATGTGCCCGGTAAGAAGGCCTGAGGATTGGAGGGTACAAATTAAATGAATAGGAGGCAGAAGGAGGAATTGGAAAGAGGAGGACTTCGAAGTCAGACCCCGTTTCAATGCCCGACCTGCTCAGCTGATGACCTTGGACAATCGCTTAACCTCTCTGAGCTCCGGTTTCCTTACACACAAATGGGGCAAGGAGGTGGTGGCAGAGGACAGAGGTGATGTGTGCCAAGCGACTAGCGCCGGCTTGGCACGTGGGGCACCCGCCTGCGTTTGGAGAACCGAGAGACAGAGCCCGGAGAGGGACTGTAGACCGGAGGGACCGGGCGGGTGCCGTGCACCTTCCGGGCGCCTGGAGACGCGGAGATCTGGGCCCAGACCCTTCCGGCTCTGCTGCTTTCCCTGGCGAGGAGTGCAAACCCTCGGGGCCGGCCGCAGGGGCTCGGCATCAGCGCCTTGTGCAGCCGGGCCCCCCAAGCCCCGGCCCTGGTACCTGGCGGCGTGCAGCGCCCGCAGCGCCTCGCGGGCGAACCGGTCTGTGCCGAAGAAGAGCACCCGCCAGGGCGGCTTCTCGCGGACTCGGACGCCCCGGCCATCCTCCCCGGCAGGGGACCCGCCGAGCCCGGCCAGCGCTTGCCACTGGGGCCTCCGCTTACCGCCCGGACCGCCACCCACAGGCCGGGGCCCCCAGCAGCGCCGAACCAGCACCCTCATGACCTCCGGGGGCGACCTATCCTGCGCAGGCGCGTCAGGGTAGAAGGGGGGTGCGCGTGCTCGGCCGGAGGGGCGGGGCCAGGGAGGAGAGCTGATGGGCGTGGTCTGCTAGCGACTTGAGGCGTGGTCTGTGTGGTTGGAGGTGTGGCCTGTGTGGTTGGAGGCGTGACCCGCCTGTGTTGGAGCTCCGGTAGGAATTTGCTGGCGCGAGCCTCCCCATGATTTTTATTGCATTTGTTTGCACGATTTAGCCAATTTCCCCAAAAGAGCTCTCTTGGGAGCAAATCATGTGTTTTCAGACAATGAAATATCATTTATTACGTAATTATGATCATTAATATTTACTGAATATTTACTGTATGCCATGCTTTGGCTAAGCATTTATACCCATAATTTTAGTGAATCCTCACAACAAGGATACAAGGTAGATATTATCCAACCATTTTACTGAAGAGAATCCGAGGTTCAGTGAAGTGAAGGGAATTACCTACCTAAGGTCCTGACAGCTAGTTCATGTTACTTCAAATCCTGCGATCCTTACCATCTGGTCCTCATGGCAATCTTTATGTACTAGGCAAGTCAAAGTCCCCATTTTGCACCGAGGAAACTGAGCTCAGTTATTTGCTCACAGTCATTCTGATGAGTCTAATGCTGTGGGTTCCCTCCCACACAGAGGGATACCATAAGGGAGATTTTCAGGGGAAAAAAGCGGGGGAAGCTGTCCCCAAAAGAACTGCAAGGAACTTTAGTGCTTAGATTCTGTATTCCAGAGACCCACACAATGACCTTCTCATGTATGGTCACACATCTTGTGTATGGTTACAGAGTGGAGACTAGATTTCCTTTCTAGTCTTACTCTTACCACATTTCCCCATCACACAGTCTTAGACCCAGTGACCATTGGGTCAGTCCTTCTTCCCAAATTATGAGCTCTGCACATCCCTGCTTCTGTGCCTTTGCTTGCTGTTCTTTTTTTTTTTTTTAAGATGTATTTATTTTTATCTTAGGGAGAGAGCGTGTGAACAGGGGGAGGGACAGAAGGAGAGATTCTCAAGCAGCCCATCATGGAGCCTGACACAGGTGCAGCTCCATCCCACCACCCAGAGATCATGACCTGAGCCGAAACCAGAGTCAGATGCTTAACCGACTGAGCCTCCTAGGTGCCCCTGCTTGCAGTTCTTTCTCGACTGCCCTCCTCATACCACTTCTCTAAATGATATCCATTCTTCAGTGCCAAGTTCAGATATCTTCCCAGAAGCCTCGAGCTCTTGCCTGAATGGATTTAATGTGTTTTTCCATGTGGTGCCTCCTTAATGCTCTGTGGGAACTGCTGCTTCTCATAGTTTGGAATTATTGAGGAAAGTTGTCTGATTATGCATTGACATTGACAAATTCACCTGTGTGTTGAATAGAAAAGAGAGAGGCAAAGAGGAATTGAGAGACTGTATTTCAGTGATTCTGCTCATCTAAATGAAGAGGGGGAGATGAGACCCCAAAACTTCCATGCCTTCAATCAAGTTTTGTTCCAGTATCCTCTGTAAGTAAGTGGAATAGGATTCTAATATATTTATTTATTTTAAAGATTTTATTTATTTATTTGAGAGAGACAGCACACACAGAGGGAGAGGGAGAGGGAGAGAGAGAAGCAGACTCCCTACTGAGCAGGGAGCCTGACACGGGGCTCGATCCCAGGATCATGACCTGAGCCGAAGGCAGACACTTAACCAATTGAACCACCCAGGCACCCCTGATTCTAATATATTTAAAAATGGTCATTTTCCATACAACGCGACCTATAAATGCAACCCAGTCATTTGACTTTCCACCCTAGAATCTGGCCACTGTCTAAAGTGTGACTCTTTATGTTTGTGTTTATGTCATTTCTCTCCTTGAGTTAGCCTGTGTTATACTGCATTTGATTTATTTTCAGCAGTCCACATCTCCACAGCTAGCCCAGCTCCCCAGAGCTGCTGGAGCTGCTCACAGCGCCCTCTGCCAACTGCTTCTTCTGAGGAGCCAAAGCCAATCTGTTTTCTTTCCTCCACAGGGTTGTCTCCTGCCATTGATGTCTTATTTTCTAGTGGATGATCTTTTGATTTGCAGCACACTTCCTTTTAAAAAACTGAACATGATATTATTGTAATGGCTGAAGTTTTCCCAGGACGCTAAAATGGAAATATTTCTGAAGCTCATGGTAGTAAGTTAGGAATGAATGGGGAAGCCCATTTCCAAGCCCAGGAAAACCCATTGCTGGAGCTACCACAAAACACACAGAGAGGATGAGGAAGCCAGCACCTCATGGCAAGGAGTTTTAGGTAATAAATTAAGAATGTCCAGAAAGCACATCCAAGAGGCCTATCATATTAATCTGGTGCTCCAGTTTCCAGAAATTTCTCTCTTCTGTTGAATAAATGGAGTGTGTATGTATGCCGAATCCATGAACTTGCTCCAGGTTCTGAGTCTGGGTGACAAGACAAGAGCAGGGTCACTGACAGAGAGCAAGCCTGCTTGGTGGTAACTCTGATGATGTTTCAGCTTCAAATGCTTGGAAACTTAAAGTGCTGAGAATCGAGTGGAGAAGTTCGGAGGAAATCTAGAATGTGGGAGTGACCTTAATGTCTGGAGGGTGAGAGAGCTGATCCGGAAAGAGAGGAAGCAGGAAGCGTCTCCTCTCCCTGGTCCCCATCATCCCACCCTCACCCTGAATATGTGTGTATGATTTCTGAGGAGTGCAGAGACCTGCCAGAGAGTCCATTTCCGTGTGTGTGTGTGTGTGTGTGTGTGTGTGAGCAGCTCTTTGGTGTTGAGAGTCAAAAAGATAGAGCAGCAAGAGCCCTGGGAAAGAGGGAGCAAGGGGTACAGGGAGGAAAATGGTCAGAGCTCTGATTGGTAAAATGCCCACTGCCTGAACCCACAAGAATTCCGGAATGTGGTCTGGGAGACAATGCCACATGTGACAGGAGAAGGTCTACCATAACCAGGTATCGGGCCAGGGCCAGGGTCAGGAACCGAACCACGGGGCGCCGCACAGGGAAATGTCTTTTGGGGTGCCGCACGTTGGTGGGAAGTTCCGTGTAGTACTATCTCCTGACTGTAGTTGCATCAGAAGTCCGCCAGGGTGTGCTGCTCACCAACATTTCCTGCCGTTGAGCGCGGTGGCCGATTCACCAGCTCCAGCACCTTTTGCTCGGAATGGGCTGTCAGTGTTGTTACTGCCTCATGTGGTCTCAGTAGATGTCCCTCCTTAAGCTGTCCAGCTGCTCTCTAAAGCAGGACTGGGGCTGCAAGGCCAACCGCTGGGGACAGACCGGGAGCGGCTGTCTCCCCACTAACCCATCCACCTCGTACAGGTGATGACACAAATAGGAGGCTCTTCTGTGCAGCAGCCGACTGTCCCTCACTAGGAGCCCAGGTGTCTTCCCATCCCAGGTGAGAGCTTAGGAGGCAGCTTTCGGCCCGCAGGACTCGGTGTCCTTGAGGAGAGAGACTGGAGAGGTCAAATGTCATCTGATGGATGTCAGAGTCCCAGGAAGAGAAGGCAGATGTGGTACTACAGGAATGAGAAGCAGGAAGTTTTCCTTTGCTGCTGATAGTTAACCCCAGTAAACCAAGTGAAATATCAAAATGGATGTAAAGAGATCAAATCTTAAAATCTTTGGCTTCAGGCAAAAGAGGTGTACAATATTAACAAAGGGAAGGAATATTTCTTTGTTTTAAATTTTTTATTGTTATGTTAATCACCATACATCATTAGTTTTTGATGTGGTGTTCCATGATTCATTGTTTGTGTATAACACCCAGTGCTCCATGCAGAACGTGCCTTCTTTAAAACCCATCACCAGGCTAACCCATCCCCCCACCCCCCTCCCCTCTAAGGAATATTTCTTTTTATAAAGTATATTTTCCTAGCTCTGCAAGGAAGTTGACAAGATAGTAATACCTTTCATGTTTAATGGAACTCATAATTTGACTGGTCTAGAGATTGGTAACCATTTACAAAAATTTAGAATAAGCGTCTCAAGAATTGCTGGGAAGGGGCACCTTCTGAGGGTGGCTCAGTCAGTTAAGCGTGTGCCTTTGGCTCAGGTCATGATCCCAGGATCCTGGCGTCTGGCTCCCTCCCTCTGGCCCTTCCCCTAGCTCATTTTCTCACTCTCTCTCTCTCACAAATAAATAAAGTCTTAAAAAAAAAAAAAAGCTGGGAAAATAAAAGGAGGAAAAAAGAAACAAGTGTTCAAAAGAGAACAATGGAGTTTTAGTTAATAGAAGGTGTCTGGTTACCAAGATAATATAGGGAATGAAAGATATCAAAATAGATATTAGGGGGGCGCCTGGGTGCCTCAGTCGTTAAGCGTCTGCCTTCGGCTCAGGTCGATCCCAGAGTCCTGGGATCGAGCCCCGCATCGGGCTCCCTGCTCGGCGGGAAGCCTGCTTCTCCCTCTCCCACTCCCCCTGCTTGTATTCTCTCTCTGGCTGTGTCTCTCTCTGTCAAATAAATAAAATCTTTAAAAAAAAAATAGATATTAGGCCAGTCCTAAGAAATCTTTCTGTATATGACTTTTATTTTACTTTTTAAAAGATTTATTTATTTACTTATTTATTTGAGAGAGAGAGAGAGCAAGCACGGTGGGGAGGGGCAGAGGAAGAGGAGGAAAGAGTCTCAGGCGGACTCCGCACTGAGCGCAGAGCCCATGGGGCGGGGCTGGGGGGCCGGGGCTCAATCTCATGACCCTGAGATCGCAACTCCAGCTGAGACCAAGAGTGGGATGCTCAACTGATTGAGCCACCCAGGTGTCCCGGTATACTCCAATTTTTAAAAAGACTCTGATTTTTATCACAATGTGAATAAAATGCCAACGTAACATTTTAGCTCATGTAAGGCTTGGATTTATATTCTTTTTTTTTTTTTAAGATTATTTATTTATTTATTTATTTGAGAGAGAGAGAGAGCACATGAGAGGGGGGAGGGTCAGAGGGAGAAGCAGACTCCCTGCTGAGGGGCAGGGAGCCTGATGCGGGACTCGA